TTTCTGTGGTGACAAGTCAATACAATGGACAAGCAGAGCTGCATTCATCTTATAAGAAAGACTGATTATTATTTTTTTTCTTAAATCAATCAGGATCTGATTTAAGAATTTGAACAAGTAATAGTGGCAGTACAGAACATTTGCTCTGCTGGCATTTTCTGCTAAGAAACTTAATTAGATTTAGATGTTTGGGTAAGAAATATGTTCAGCAGTCTAGCTGGTCCAATTATTTCTGTTCTCTCCTGAACAGAGAGTCAACAAAGTAATGTCTCCAAAATGAAAATATGATTACAGAAATTAGGATGTATTTCCTTTTAAAGTTTTATACAGGTAAAAATGCCGCCAGTCTATTATAATCCGTTCAAGTCCCAGGGAAATCAAAACCTTTCTGACCAGTCCAAATTATGAAATGTTGATCTAAAAGTACAACTTTAACTGCATTGCAATTTTTTTCAACACATACTGGTCCTTAATTTAGTCTTATTAAGCAGAGAAATATGCAATAAAATTGTAGTTTTAATTTCTTTTATGTAGGTGGAAAGTCATCATTTTAAAATCAGCATAATAGTGCCTTATTTCTTAAAGTATACATGTGGTGGTGTGACCACTAAGCCTTAGTATGGGTCCGTTTCTGGTCGAGGGCAGAGCTTTCTATTCAGCAATGACATCAGAACAGGAACTGATGTCGCTACCGTAGACTTCCCTGATTGCCTGAGCAGTACCAGAGCTTAGTGAACAATGGCAGAGTATGAGCACTGATGGAAACATCCAAGCCATATGTGCTGTAAGCATACATAATTAAGTGGCACTTCTTTAAGATGTCCACTGGAGGGATCAGCCTTTGAAAGGAAGCTAAATAGCTTAGTCGGCCCTGAACAAAAAATGCTTTCAGATTCATGGGAATGGCAAGATCAACAGGTAATCTTGTTAATAACTGAGGATGAAAAAAATTGAGATTATCTCAATTTGTATATTATATAGGAACCTGCAAAGAGACTTTATGATTCTTGGCTGGAGAGATACTTTATTGTGTAATGTATTACAGTGTTTCTCTTGATTCAGTGAAAGATATTGTATTAATTCAGTAGTTAACAGAGTAGATATTTTTCCACAATTTGAACTTGAATAGGTGACTTGGGGCTGTAGATTGAAGGATCTAATATCCAGCTGCTAATGACCCACTGACGTGTCCTATAGGCTTGTGTGCAGATAACAGTAGGCAATTTTAGATCTATTAGCTGCAGAACTCAGCAGGAGAGAAAAGGTCTGTACACACTGAGATTCCAAACTGTCTACAATCATTGTCATTTTCCTATGCTCAAGGGAATATGTTTAATCTCAAATAAAATCCTAAATATTAGTTGCATGGAGATACAACTTTTCCCCTCTAATAGTATGCATTATAAGCTGCAAACAGATACAAAATTGTATGTCCTGGTTGTAAAGAACCACCTAAGGATCAACAATATGGTTATATGGGGACTGCTTGTAGGAGCCATGCAGTGTGTGGACTCATTGAGAGTGTGCTGATGAGCTGGTGTCAGAAATCCTAACCCTGACCAAGCCATCAAAACCATATCAATCCATATTACCTATGGCCACTTTGGAAGACAAAACCTTTCCTACCAGCACCTTACCAGCATTACTTAATTCCACCATAAATTATGGAGCCCTTAATCTTTAGACAGTTTATCAGCATTGAACTCAGTTCCAACATAAATTGGACCCCTAATCCTCCAACTATGAGTAGGTCCTCCTCACATTGAGAGGATGGCCCACTTGCTGGACTGGGGGAGAACTCTGTTGGATTTTGTGTGTGTGCCTGGTACCATAATATTTCAGACGTTTGGGTCCAGAGGTAACAGGATAGAATTTAATTTTCTTCCTCCACACTGACTCATGTTGTCATACCTGAACATCAAGACTAGGTGGACCTCCACACTCCTATTTGCAGGCATTGTAACCCTGATTCTGGAGAAGGAGACTGTTTTCCTCAATCCATTTTACTCTTTCCAAAATTCAAGTGGGAGTATACGTCCTATTCTAACACTGAAATCTTTCAACTCTTTCCTCTGAGTACAAGAATTTTGCACATAGTCTGCCATGTCAGTCATTGCTCAATCCATCCAGGAGACCTTTTTGGCTTTTATGGACATCAAAGATGCTTATTTGCATGTCCCCATCTTTTAGGAGCTTTAATGCTATCTGTATTTTGCTAAGTAGTCACAACCACTTTTTTGCCCTCAGCTTTGGCCTGTCCGCTTCACCTTGTTGCTAGCCCCTTTTATTGCCCTGCTTCACTCTCAAAGTGTCCCTTTAGTGGGATATCTGGATGAACTTCTTTGGGAACAGTTGACTCAGAATATGTCTCTCAGTGTCCAACAGACTGTGCAGACCCTGCAGGTCTGTGGGGGCCCTAAAGTTTCCAGCAATTAGCATTGGAACCATCTCCCTACTGGAAGTATATGGGCCTGGTCTTGGTTTTCCTTTCCCTGGAAAAACTCCACACTCTTTGTTTCCACGATTGGGCTCTAAAGTTCAAGGGCTGTCCTCATCTTTCACATGATGATTTTGTGCTTAACAGCAGCCTCTGTCAGGGAAGTTCAGTAAGTCTATTACCACTCCAGAGTATTGTAACTCCACAGCCTGACTGTTTGGGACAAGAGAGCACAGCCCCTGGCTTATCCCTTTTGCCTGACTAGCGAGGCCAAGCTTGACCTGGCATAGGGAGTCACCAGTTCAACACAAGAATAGGAAAGATCATTCCTCCAATGGCTTGCAAGGGACTCACAATGAGTGCCATCCCAGTGGGCTGGGGAGGAGTTCTAGATTCTATCTCAGAGGAAGTTTAGTCTGATAAATATTCTGAAACTCACGGTGATCTGGTTTTCCCTTCATCTCGAAGGTCTTTAAACAACTCAAGGATTCAGTTCGTTAATGCCACAGCAGTGAGTTACCTCAACAATCAAGGAGCATACAGAAGTCTCACAACTCAAGTGGATGATAAGATTCTAGCTTTGGCAGAACTTCACAATCTGGCCCTGCTGCTGTTGACATCTCAGATGTGATAAACTGGTGGCAGACTTCCTCAGCCATCAACATCTGGACATTGGAAACAAAAGTCCTTTCTCCCTGAGTTGTTTAAAGACCTCTGTTACAGGTGGGGGACATGGATGTGAAATTCCTGGCTTCCAGGATTCACAACAAATTGGACAGGATTGTCTCCAGACCATAAGATCCTCTAGCGTTTGAGGTGGAGGCTCTAGTGACATTGTGGGATCAGTTCAACAGAACAACATTTTTTTCAAAGTGCATTTTAGTGCTTTTCATTGTACTGACCTGGCCCATGAGGTCTTCGTACTCAAACTTTGTTGGACTCCTGGTGAACTTTCCATCGGCCCTCACAGATTGTCTGTATCTTTTTGTCCCAAAGGAAGGTTTGCTACCCTGCTTCTCATTCACTGACTTAACAGCTTCCCTGTTTCAGGCCAAGTCCTGAGGGACAGGGCCCTATCAGATTTTGTCATCCCTACATCTTTGAAAACTATGGAATCGACTTCTCACAAAGTCTACCATTGCACTTGTAAAGCATATTTGTCTTACTGCAAGATAAGGGATTATATCCCAGAAAGTACTTTGTGGGACAAATCCTGTCTTTTCTCCAGTCTGATTTGAATCAGCATTTGAGACGACTTTTGGTCTTTGTGGTTGTTCTTCAGAAACCACTTGCTTTTCACTTCTTAGTGAAGGCCTCCGTACAGGGTGTTACCCTTATAAACTTCCCAGTGATCCTGTGAGATCTCAATCTGATACTTGTTCTTCAAGACTACCCTTTGAACCTATGAGAAATCTCCCTGTCTCTCCTCACCTGCAAGGTTGACTTTCTTGTCACTTTTGCTTCTCTGAGGCAAGTTTCTGTAAGTTTACCTTGCAAGGAACCTTTTCTTGTGTTTCTCAAATGACAAGGTTGTCTTGAAGCCCAGGACCTCTTTTCTTTCCAAGGTGGTTTCTTCCCTTCACCAGTACATTATTCTACCATCTCTGTGTTAAACATCATTGGGAGATTTCCCTTCATTGTGTGGCATGCGCTGTGTAAGTTTATCTCTCAACTACAACTCTTTTTTGGGCACTCCGACTCTGTCTTGGTCCTGTCTGATAGTTCTGATAGAGGGCAGACTGGGCATCATTTCACTATCACTGGGTGAATTCGACAGCTCATTATTTACGTTTATGACCTCAAAGGCAAGGATTCTCCTTTCTGTGTCAGGGTGGACTCTAGCAGATCATTGAATGCTTCTTCAGCATCAGGCATGTTTCACAGATTAGAAGACTGCCACCTGGTCTTCTGTTCTTTTCATTACATTTTTCCAGGTGGATGTTCAGAACTTAGCTGATGCCTGCTTTGATCATCAGATTCTTCAGGTGACACTGTTAGCCAACTGTTAGGTTAACTGGTTAACCTATTGTTTTTCTTGTAGGAATGTCAGTCTTTCATTTGCTGTTGGTCACCTCTCAGCTGGATTGCTTTTGGATGTCTCAGTGGTTCCAGAATACTTTATCCTGTGGATTGTAATGTACAATTCAGAAAACAGAATTTTTGTCTTACCTCTAAAATCTTTATCTTGGTGTACATTAAAGAACTCAGGTCCCTCTCTTCTGTTCTCATGATCCACTCCTAACATTGCTTGCTTCTAAGTGGAAGAAAATGAGTGAAAGTGGCAATTTAACTTATTGGCTCAAGGATAACTCATCCTGCCTCCTGTAACATACTCCAGTAAAAGGATTTTTTTTCCTATTGCTTGGCACAGGGTATTGCTAAGATTGTAAAAGATCATGAGCACCCTTGGGCACGCAAAGGAGAAAAAAATGCCCAGCGTTTTGCAGTGATCAATGTGTGCGGCCAATGAACAGTATGCATTGTTTAAAGTAGCCCAAAACAACTCCCTGAACACACTGCACACATATACTGCAGTCCTCACACCCACAAAATATGCCTTAAAGCGGAGCTCCACCCAAAAGGGGAAGTTTCGCTTTAAGGACTGCTCTCCTGCTCCCCATTAAGGATTGGCACCTTGGGATTGGGGCGGGGGCTAGTGGGTACTCAAATTTGACAGGTACCCGCTCCCACTTCCGGTCCAATCGCCTAGGCGATCAGAAACGGAAGGTGTCCTCCCTCCCTCCCTCCCTGTAGTCTTTTGTGGCACGTGACAGGTCCAGAAGACTACAGGACCATTCATGAAGTGCAGCGCTACTCGTGCATGTGCAATGGGTACTGTCAGGGATCCCCTCGATCCCTGCCACAATGGTCCCGGCGCAGGCGCACTGCTCCGCCCTGTACACGGGCACTAGGTCCGGGCCGGCCGCGGCGTTCGAGTTCGCGCATGCGCAGTAGAAGCCGCGGCCGCCCGCTGGGCACCAATGGCAGCGCAGGGCGGGATATTTAAAGGTCCCTGAGCTGTCATTTAGTTTCCTTCTGGTCTTACCTGCTTCCTGTGATTCTGTACCTGTGCCTTGTAAGTTTATTGACCCGGATTGTTCTTGACCTGCTGATTTCTCCTGCCCAGACCCTTGCTTGCCTGACCTCTCTCCCTGGATGCCCCTCATTAGATCTGACCTCCTGTTGCTGACCTGGCGTGTGACCTGACGATTCTCTGCCTGCTCCCTTGTACCTTACCGTCCTCTACGTTACCAACTCGGCCTGTCTGACTTCGCACTTGCTCAGCCATCCATCCATCCCATCGGGGTCACCCGACCTCCTCACATCTGGCTCTCCCTGGTTGGAGCCCCTGGCGAACACCCCTACCACTGACAGGTGTGCTCAGTAGTGGCGACCTGGTCTCGGGGTACTACAAGTCCATCCCCACCATCAGGGGCCCTGGTGAACAAGTACCCTGGGGCTTAGACTCCGCGCTCTGGGCACGCCTGACCAGTGGAATGCTAGTGGTGCCGCTCGGCGGTCCCTCACAGGTACCCTGCTGTGAAGTCGCAAGCTATCACAGCTCGGTGCCCACTCTGAAGATGCCGGCTTCCTGGAATACAGGACGGCCGGTGAAACGGGCTGTGGGGGACATACCATGGGACCGAGGGACAGGTAAGTGGTTGTTTTTTTAAAAGTCAGCAGCTACAGTTTTTGTACCTGCTGACTTTTATTTTTTGACAGGGTGAGTGGAACACCGCTTTAAGTATTGTGACACACTCAAAAGTGTTACATACAGTAGCTCTCAGTGCAAAACTCTAGAAGATGTAAGATCTATCAAGGCGCATTTGCTTTCCTGCTACATTCATTCCTGGAGGAATGGTAAAGTTATAATCTCTGTTTATACACAAAATGAAGGACTGAAACTCACCTATGCTGTGAGCAGCTGGACAGGTCTGTGAATCATTGTGGTAAGCACTCAGAATCTGGTGCATGGTAGCCAATCAACTTCTAACTTGAGCTTGTTCATTTGAGCTTTGACAAACCTGGAAGTTGATTGGCCACTATGCAGAGCTCCACCAGACTTTGTACACTCCAATTTTAGTGCACATCCCCCTCTGTTTTGGGAGAAGCTGGTTGGAGCTGATCATTATCTTTGCACTGATGGGAAACTCTGGCAAAATATGCAATGATTATATTAATGATAGCAAACATATTGAAATACAGGTTAAGATTTCACATACACCATTATCTGCAATTTGTAATGTGAAGTGGATTCTTTGTACAGTTTGATAATAGTTAATTGATGCGTTAAAAAGAGCAAGAGACAGGTGTGGCATTAAAGGCAGGGCAGTTCATGCAGCTCTCTATGTAAGGGCTTCCTGCATATTTGAAGAATGCTAATTAAAAAAAATTGTTTTGATTAACTTGTATGACTTTTGGTACTAACGTAGTGATTTCAGTACTGGTTGGAAAGTTGAAAAAGTGCATATAGCAGGACATGAGGGATCTGCACAATATTAGGCATAAAGAACAACTGGGACATGGTATTCTACAAAAATGTAAAAGTTACTAGTCTTACCCTATATTTATAACAGGATAGAGATGAACTCCTGTAATTACATTTAAAGTGGTTGTAGAGGCGGAAGTTTTACCTTCACGCATTCTCTGCATTAATGTAAAAAAGCTTCTGAGAGCATTCCTCCCACCTCAACCCGCCCTTATAATCACCTGAGCCAGTGATGTGCACAACAGTCGAGCCTCTCTCGGCTCCTTCACTTCTCATTGGCTAAGAGGCAGCAGCAGGAGCCTACGGCTGCTGTCAATGAGGCGGGAGTAGGGGTGGTGCTGAGTCACACAGAGATGGTTCAGAAGCAATCCTGCTGTCAATCACAGCCAATGAAGAGGGAGTAGGGGCAGTGCTGAGCCATGCTCTGTGAGTCTTATAGACACACAGAGATGGCTCAGAAGCAAGCCTGCATAAGTACCCCCATAGCATGCAGCTTGCTATGGTGGGCACTGGGTGGGGGGAGGGGCCAGGAGAGCCAGCGGGAGATCCAAGAAGAGGGAGATTGGGGTTGCCCTGTGCAAAATCATTACACAGAGCAGGTAAGTAAAACATGTTTTTTTTTTGTTTTTTAATTAATGTTTAGAATCACTTTAAAACCAAAACATCCCAAAAATGTTTCCATCTAGGTATATCAACACAAACCTCCTAATGCATGGTCACAAAATACAGTATATATAACCTTTAATCACGTTTCATAATACCAACATCATAACACAGACACAATATAGAAAGACCTAAAACCACGTAAAACTTTGCCTACATGGCATGCATCTCATTTTGCTATAACTCTGTATGTTAACTATTACAATGATTTGCATTGTACATTGACTATACTGCTAATAGAGATTGCCCCATTTTCCATGCACATTGTCCATTCCACATTAATACAGGATGAATTCCTACGCAAGCAACCAAATCAAAGCAAGACAAACATGCAATTGTGTGCTCACAAATCCAGAAGGTCCTTGAGGCAATGTATCTGTTGCCAATACGTCACTGTAATGGTATTTAATATTAGCATAATCATAGTCCAGACTTCATTATCAAATACATCAGAAATATTGTTCTTTTTGTTTTATTCCCCAGTAAGGCTGCTTCAGGAAATGAACAGAGTTACATAGTTTAAAAGACACAGGTCCATCCAGTTCAACCTACAGTGGGGCAAAAAAAAAGTATTTAGTCAGCCACCAATTGTGCAAGTTCTCCCACTTAAAAAGATGGGAGAGGCCTGTAATTGGCATCATAGGTAGACCTCAACTATGAGAGACAAAATGAGAGAAAAAATCCAGACAATCACATTGGCTGATTTGGAAAGAATTTATTTGCAAATTATGGTGGAAAATAAGTATTTGGTCACCTACAAACAAGCAAGATTTCTGGCTCTCACAGACCTGTACCTTCTTCTTTAAGAGGCTCCTTTGTCCTGCACTCATTACCTGTATCAATGGCACCTGTTTGAACTTGTTATCAGTGTAAAAGACACCTGTCCACAACCTCAAACAGTCACACTCCAAACTCCACTATGGTGAAGACCAAAGAGCTGTTGAAGGACACCAGAAACAAAATTGTAGACCTGCACCAGGCTGGGAAGACTGAATCTGCAATAGGCAAGCAGCTTGGTGTGAACAAATCAACTGTGGGAGCAATAATTAGAAAATGGAAGACATACAAGACCACTGATAATCTCCCTCGATCTGGGGCTCCACGCAAGATCTCCCCCCGTGGGGTCAAAATGATCACAAGAACGGTGAGCAAAAATCCCAGGACCACACGGGGGGACCTAGTGAATGACCTGCAGAGAGCTGGGACCGACGTAACAAAGGCTACCATCAGTAACACACTACGCCGCCAGGGACTCAGATCCTGCAGTGCCAGACGTGTCCCCCTGCTTAAGCCAGTACATGTCCGGGCCCGTCTGAAGTTTGCTAGAGAGCATTTGGATGATCCAGAAGAGGATTGGGAGAATGTCATATGGTCAGATGAAACCAAAATAGAACTGTTTGGTAGAAACACAACTCGTCGTTGTCAGGAATGGATTCACCACTGGTGGTGGGACTCACCTGCCGTGTGGGCTGCAGTACCAGGGCTGGCCAGCGGGTGCTCTCAGCAACCAGAAGCTCACTCCTGCAGTCAGCCATCAGCTGAAGCTGATTGCAGGAGGTGTATTTAAGCAGGACCAGGCCTGTGATCAGTGCCTTGGTGTATTGTTTCCCATGAGCCCCTGTACCTGGTATCCTGTGTTCCTGTTCTGCTGACTATCTGATTTGTTGCCTACCCTGCCTGATCCTGACCTCTGCTGACTTCTCCTGCTTTATTCCTGGCTTGCCTGACCATCCTTCTGCCTGATCCTCTGTACCGCGCTGCCTGTGAGTTACTGAACCCGGCTTGTGACCCTGACTATTCTCTGCCTGCTCCTCCGGTACCTCGCTGCCCACACGTTTCTGACCTGGCCTGCCTGACTATGCCTGACGCTACCCAGACGATCCATCCATCCCGCACGGATCTGTCCCTGGTACCAGGTCTGCCAGCCTCTTCACGTCAGGCTTTCCCACTGTACATACCCTCGGCGGACCCCTCTACCACAGTTGGGTGCACTCAGGGGCCGCGACCTGGTCTCAGTCCTGCGCCAAGTCCATCCCCACCATCAGGGGCTCTGGTGAAAAGGCAGACTGGGGCTTAGACTCCGCGCCCTGGAGAATCCCGTTCTGTGGGTACTAGAGGTCCCGCCGGGCGGTGCCTGACAGTACCTAACGGCCTGCCTGACCATTCCACTTCTCCAGCCCTGACTACGCCAGTGTTCCTGAAGCCTGCTACTTCCCTGTGTCAGTCCACACATTTCTGGTCATACCCGGATCCCTAACAGTTGTGTTTGGAGGAGAGAGAATGCTGAGTTGCATCCAAAGAACACCATACCTACTGTGAAACATGGGGGTGGCAACATCATGCTTTGGGGCTGTTTCTCCGCAAAGGGACCAGGACAACTGATCCATGTACAGGACAGAATGAATGGGGCCATGTATCGTGAGATTTTGAGTGCAAACCTCCTTCCATCAGCAAGGGCATTGAAGATGAAACGTGGCTGGGTTTCCCAACATGACAATGATCCCAAACATACCGCCCCGGGCAACGAAGGAGTGGCTTCGTAAGAAGCATTTCAAGGTCCTGGAGTGGCCTAGCCAGTCTCCAGATCTCAACCCCATAGAAAACCTTTGGAGGGAGTTGAAAGTCTGTGTTGCCCAGCGACAGCCCCAAAACATCACTGCTCTAGAGGCGTTTTGCATGGAGGAATGGGCCAACATACCAGCAACAGTGTGTGCCAACCTTGTGAAAACTTACAGGAAACGTTTGACCTCTGTCATTGCCAACAAAGGATATATAACAAAGTATTGAGATGAACTTTTGATATTGACCAAATACTTATTTTACACCATAA